GGAGACTTCCTAGGATGGAGCTTCTGGAATAATCTTTTTTTCTTTCTTTTAAGGATTTTATTTATTTACTTGACAGAGAGAGACACAGCGAGAGAGGGAACACAAGCAGGGGGAGTGGGAGAGGGAGAAGCAGGCTTCCCATAGAGTGGGGAGCCCAATGCGGGGCTCGATCCCAGGACTCTGGGATCATGACCTGAGCCGAAGGCAGATGCTTAACAACTGAGCCACCCAGGCGCCCCAAAGTTCTGGAATAATCTTATCCAATAATGTATGTGTCCAAAACCTCTTTTCCTTTCAGGTCAACCTTATGATTTACCTGCCATTTATCAAATTAACAGGAGAGATCAAAAGTAAACCAAATTAGGGTGCCTGGGTGGCTCACTGGGTTAAGCGTCTGCCTTCAGCTCAGGTCATGATCCTGAAGTCCTGGAATCCATTCCTGCACTGGGCTCTCTGCTCATCAGGGAGTCTACTTCTCCCTCTGGCCCTACCCCCTCTAGTGCTTTCTCTCTCGCACTCTCTCTCAAATAAATAAAATCTTAAAAAAAAAAAAAGTAAAGCAAATTACAAGAAGGGGTCTGACTAAGGATTAATAATACTGAATAGTGCATCACTAATTATTAAGATCTACTATTTATTTCAAATGTAGTTAACAAATTTAATTTAAACTCACACACTAAATATTTCCCAAAACAATACTTCTGAAAGTATGAAAAGGTTAAAAATGTTTATAGAGAAAAGCACGAAAATATTCCAATCACTTGTTTACCACTAAACAACCTGTTTTCTTGGGAAAGTCACTAAGTCACATATAAGGTCACTTTATACAGTATTATTCTAATTTTTTTGAGAATGATCACATCTGAAAAACAATCCTTTGAAACAGACAAAGCAAGTATCACCTTCACTTAACAGAAGTTAACAGAACAAAGGCTTTGAAAGATAAATGACCTGCTCATGACCAGCTAGGAAGCTAGATTGGAAGGATGAACCCATGATCTTCTGACACCAAAGTTAGTGCTTCTTCCTCCACATCAGTGGTTCTTGGTCGCTTTTGTTCACTGAACCTGTTGAGACTCTGAAACTTAAAATTTATATATAATTTTAGGGAGTTCACAGTCACGAAGCTTAGAATCAAACAGAAACAACTGTCAGTTAAATCTCATTTGCAAACAGCAATATTCCATAAAAGGTATTAGCTTTATTTCATTCTCAGATTGGCCTTAAACTTAAAAACTTCATTTTGACTTATTATCCATCATGGTGTTTACTTAATGATAACTTAGATCAAAGCAAAGTTGGCAAAGAAATTTATTATCTATTTATTAATAAGTTATTTCATTTAAGAAATTATATAGCATCTTAAGTATTTTAAACATCTGTTCTGGACATAGGATATGTTTGTAGATTTTACAAACATTTAACGCCATTTCTAGTTACTGTAGTTTTACTTGACTTCCTTTATTAGAAGAAAAAGCCCCATTTCTGCACTAACTCTTATGCTCAGAAAAGGCCCAATGATGGCATCTTGTAAAGTCTGCCTTCTAATAATAGTGTAGAAAACATTCAAATAGAAGCAAACTACTCCTCTCAACAGGTAGGACAGAACATACGCCACTGTATAGAGTCCTGAACTCTAGTCCAGAGACTCAGACTGTGCTTCTAGCTCTGCCCATCTGGGTGACTTTAAGAAAATCATTTTAAAGCTTCACACTTCAATTTCTTCATGTATAAAATGAATGGAGTGACTGGCCTCAAGAATAGTCCTACTGAGAGGTTTGAAATATAAAGCTAGAACCAGAAGACAGAATGATAATTACCCCAGAAAAATATCAAAGTATTTACAGGCAACTGCCAAAGTAAATTTTTTTTCATATACATACCCATTCACACACAGACACACACACACTATGTGCCAGATTTTGGATTATGGAGCAGGACCAAGGTAAAGATATAAAGTATCTCACATATGCCAAATAGTTGTATAAAGGGGCAAAAACAATATTCTTTAGAATAGCAGCTGCAGGTGGAAGTGTTGAGTCCACAGAACCGCCCTAAGACTGGAAGAGCACAGAAGAATGAGGCTCCATTATGTGAAAGGATTTCACAAAAAATGGTGTTATGTGGAGAAAGTCACTAGACTATAAGCTTCCAAAAGACAGACATGATTGTCTTTGTAGCTCCTACATCTAACCCAGCTCATAGCAGATGCAGTAGGTACCCAATGAATGTCAGTTGACTATTCACTGATAATTCATCCATATGCTGGCAACACACTTTCTGGTAAACACTAGGAGCCCCTCCCCTTGAAGAGTGAGTTCATAGCTAGAGAGAATGAAAACAATGTAAAGGATAACATGCTAGAGTCCACACACAAAAAAAATAACAAGGTAGGAAGACTTCAAATGATAATACTCTATGTGTTGGACATTTTACAAACTCTAATCCTCAAAACAACTCCGAGTTAGTTTCACCATCCCATTTTATAGATGACAAAACTGCAGCTTACTAAGACTAACTTGCCAAGATCAGACAACTAAGGTGAGCCCAGAATTAAAAATGGGATCTAATTCCAAAGCTATTTTCACTGCACATGCTGCAATGTTTTTGAATTTATCTTTACATTTGCAGTGGGGGGAAGAGTCAAAATCAGCCAAAACTCTGTTATCCTGAATTATCCTGAAAAGAGAAGATTTGTCTTCACTCATAAAAGTCAAAAAACTAGGGGTGCCTGGGTGGTTCAGTTGGTTAAGCTCAGGTCATGATCCTGGAATCCTGGAATACGAGTCCCTGCTGATCAGGCTCCCTCCTCAGCAGGGAGTCTGCTTCTCCCTCTGACCCTCCTCCCTCCCATACTCTCGGTCTCTCAAATAAATAAATAAAATTTTACTTTAAAAAAAATCAAAAAACTAACTTTTTAACAGCTCCATGTGCATTTAATGTAATGTCTCTATGTTTTGACCAACACAAGTTTGGGTCTAAACAAAAATGTGCAACATGACAAGAAGATAACCAGTAATCATTTAAGAAAATAAACATTCGTAAATTTTTCAAGTGCTTGGGTTGAAAAATTTAGATATGATCCATAGTTTTGGATTACCCCACTGACTGCTTATTTGAAACAGCAAATTATTTCAGATTTGGGGGGGGGGTTTGAAGGGGACAGCAGAAGGATCATTTTAAAAATGACCTAAAGTTTAAGAAATACAACTGATGAAAGGTTAAATATCCAAGACACTGTAAGTACCCAATAAATCTTATTAAATGAACTGAACAAGTGGGATGAGAATGTGTCTTCCTCACACTTCTAGTAAGTATACTTAAGAAGGTACTTTTTTAAGCCAAGAAAAAAAAATGTACGATTTAAGAGAGGTGAAATAAAAACAGCTTACCACACCTCTGAAAAGAAATCAAAACACTGTAATTTGTATCTCTGTGTAAAGTTAAACTCCTCAGGAACTAGGCAATGTCCAGACAATAGTGCACATAATTCTTAGCATACTAATGCCAGTTAATAAATATTGATACAACAAGACTTTCTTAGTTTCCAATTCTAATTTTGTAAAGACAGGGTCATTATTTCTTGAATCTATTTCTTGCTTTTGTTGTGATTATTAGTTTCTTTAAAGGGCTTCTGGGTCATTCTTTGGGCTTATCAGCACTATCATTAATACTGTATTCATTTTATTACAAATGTGATAAATAACTCAGATTTATAAGCAAGATCTAATTCTAAAATTACTTCCACTATACACACCAGGATAAAAATTTTATTATCTTTCTAAATTCTAAACTTTTTTACCTGGTTTAAACAGTAAGAGTACTCATTAATCAGAGGTTATGAAGCAAACACTTCTCATCCCTCTTGTCTAATTCACTCAAGATTTATTGGTTATCTACTGTGACTCTGACAGGTAACTTTTTAACAGTTTTTCTTCCAAACTTTAGGTCATTTCCATTTCAAGCCTCCTTCCCTCCCCCCAGAATATTCTGGAATAATTTCCTGCTTCTTTCAATATTGCAGGCAGTGGAATTCTCCAAAATTAAGGGTCATAGCTATATCCCCTCATGATTTATGGAGGGTAACTCTGGATTGTAAATCCCATACTGCTATTCGTTTACATTTTCAAAAGTACCCTAGCCACTTAATAAATATAATCCCAGACAGATTTAGTAATGTTTCTATTTTAGTATGCCAACTGGACGTTTTTAAAATTCAGAGACTAAATTATCTTTGAAGGAATCTAAGCTCAAACAGTGCCTACGTTAAAATTATTTCTAACAATTTTATGGACTAAAGCATTTGCCACATTCAATTCTGACTTTACCAACAAAACCTCCACGCCATGACGAAAAAAGAGTCCTTTTCATTTTCTCAACTGAAAAGGGAAAATAAAAAAATGCCAACTGTTTGCAGGTTTGCATTTAACAGAATCTCTGGCAAACCCGGTAGCTCACGTTTAATTTGAAAATCCCGATAAACTGTGAACACAACCCTTGGGCTTGATTTCCCACTTCATCCGCCCTCCCTCCCCACCAGTCCACCCCCAAAACCCCAACCCACCAAAGCACACGTCTAAGCATTTTTCACCAACAGGGCCAAAACCTCGAAAAAAGAGCTCCCCTTGGAAGGAAAAGGCCAGCCCTACCCTGCCTGGGGCCCAGGCCTGCTCCGCGAGCTCCGCTCCAAGGAGGGCCAACTCTCGACGCCCTGCACGCCCCGCCCCGGGCCCGCTCGCGTCCCCTTAGGCGACAAAACCCTCCCTCCGGCCCTCAGCCAGGACTGACAGTTACGGTAGCAGCAGCCGCTGCTACCAAAGGCCTACTTCTGGCACTGACCCCTCCAAACCACGCGCCCCCAAACACTCGCCGTGGCGCTGTCTGGGAGCGTCCCTACCTCCGCCAGAGCCAGCCCCGAAAGGTGGTTTGAGCGACAGAGAGAACGAAGAGAAATGCCGACCAGCCTCCCCGGCCCAGGCCCGGTCCTCGGCCACACTGACCTGCTGTCGCCCCCGCGCCTGGGCTGTGGCCCTCGCAGCAGCGGCTGCCTCACTGGTCGCAGTCGCCCTCGCTCGCCGCCTCCGCCCGCCACCGCCTCGTTCCCTGTCGCTGCCTCCACCGCCGGGGCTCATGCGGGACCCGCGCTTCCTTCTCCGGAGACTAAGGCCGGGAAAGGGGGCGCCGGGGCCGCAGAAAACCCCGCGCTCGTCGCCAGCCGCCGCTCCGCCGCTGCCTGTCCCCACTGGGGAACTGCGGGGCCCGCCGAGCCGGAGCTAGGCTGGGAGCTGCTCCGAGCGCGACCCCAAGGAGGAGCCGAGGGAGGCGCCGCTGCCCGCGGCCGTAATCGTTGGGTCCGCAGAGATGAAGCTCAAGTCGGAGGCGGCAGCGGAAGGCGAGCGCCCAGGCCAGCGGATGGCTAAGTGGCAGCGGGGTGCACGAGCGGGACGAAGGCGGTGTGTCGAGATTCTGGCGAAGGGGATTCAGGCTATGTCGTCTCCTGCAGTCACCCCGAACCCAGCGCCACCATCTTGGGAAAAACGCGGATCTCGCGGCCGCAGCGCAAGCCGGGAGGACTGGCTGGGCGGGCCGAGTATCCCAGCAGGCAGCGCGTGCCGCCCGGTCGGGCCAGAGCTCCGGGCCGGGACGCAGGGACGTGGGGCGGGGCCGGGGTGCGCGCGGGAGGGCGCAGCGACATGCCCCGCCCTCTCTTTCCGGCTCCTCCCCCTTCCTGCTTGCCGTCGTCGCCACCGCGGGGGTTGTTGGGAAGGGGAAGTTGCTCGCGGCTCCTTGGAGTTCTGCCAGGGTTGGTGGCCATCTTGGGATCGGGCAGAGGGTCAGTGTTTCTATCGAGCCACCGCTGTCTATGGCCCCGCCGAAAGAAGGGCGTACACGCCGGAAACCCCCTGGAGCCACCAGGAGTGTTGGAGAGGCCCCTGGTATACCCAAGTCGAGGGACGTGCTAAGACTTAAACGCTCCCGATTTTAGGGGGACGAATCGGCTCTGAAAATCCGCCGAGGGACGGGGGGTGGTTTTGATAGCTCCCAGCCGCGCGGCGAGCCTGCAGCCTCCGGATACCAGGCCCTCCGACCCCAACCTCTTTCCGTCCAGAGCTGCCTTTGTAAATACTGCAGAGGTACCCCGAGAGTATGAGCCATCTTTCAGGGGACCAAGGTCATTTGCTTAGGCCTCTCCAACACGATGTCATTAGTTTACTAGAAGATGAAAGCACGTCTCGCAGTTTTGACATTCGGTAGGTTGTTAAAGAGATTGTGGCCTCTTGGTTAACATCAGCTAGATGGATGCTAATTTTGATCCCTATGACAACCCATTTAAAAGCCATGCGTCTTCATATTTACTATCAAGGTCATCGTTTTATTTAAAAGGGTTTTTTTTTTTATGGCTCTGCGACACTTAACTAGCAAATACAGTGGAATCACTAACAATTCATAGTCTTAACGGCTTGCAACTTTGCTAAGCCCTAAAATGCTATATGAGATCCCATTCATCTGGTATTCAAAGAATTTTTTTTAAATCAACAATCTTACATTGCAGTGTATTCAGCTGCCATTCTTAGAACATTGTAAGTCAGGGATATGTTTATGTATACTGCTTCCCGGTTATAACCATCTGTAAAAAACTTAAACTATAAAAAATAAGCTAGTGGAATCTAAAGTATCCCAGGACAATTAATGATAAATGACAGTATTAAATCATGTCTGATTTTAACTTAGTTCCTCATTGTTTTTTTCATTTCCCCCATTACAGATCCTCATTTGGAAACAATTTGTAGTTATATTTTATAGAAGAGGCTAGTTAAAATCGTAATCTATTAAGGATTTTCTTTGCATATTATCAAAATAGGCAAATGAGAATGAAAATCTTTAAAGATTTTTGTTAAAATAATCAAAGCAAAATGTTACTTCAGTATCTAGCCTGTGAAGATAGTTTAACTTATTCTCCTCAGAAATTGCCTGAATAAATGAAATGTAATTTTATATAACCTGGTGCATCAAAATGGAACAAATTCCTGAGTACCAAAAAAATTAAAGACTGACGAGAAATAAATCTGCTCTTAAATGTCAGAATGACTGTCCAGATCTTTACTAAAATCAAGAAGGATCCCAGTTCCTCCTTCAAATAAGGAGAAATTACACATAGGCTTTTTTAGTTCATTAATAGGTATTCTGTGTGACATGAGTGTCAGACCCGATTCAAGACCCCACTGTGCTCTGTCTTAATCCATTTTCAAATTTTGTGATGTTTGCTGATAAAAATTACTAGCACATTGACTGGCATAAGATAAGAGTTCAGTAAATGTTAGGGCTTAGTAATAGTAGTATTAGTATTATCAATACCATTGTTTAGCATTACACACTTCATGAACTCCTTCACACCTCCACCCTTAATTCCTACAGATCTACCTAAATTTGCGCTCACCCTGATCTCCTGTCTTAAAGTATGAGCCATCCTTCTTTCTACAGCTTTTTTTTTTTTTTTTTGTGGAGGGGAGGGGAGCTGGCCGGTGGGGGGTGAGACTCTCAAGCGCTTAGTCCCTTGGTTGTTCCCTCTCTTGTTCATAAATTCTCCTTCTACTAACTCCGTCCCTTCTATTTAGAAGAGCTATCTGTACTTGGATTGTCATTTCTTTCTAAGTCCCTCTTCAACTACTGAAATTTAGCATTTGCCCCCATTTTACTGTATACACTGCTTGTATTAATGTCTGTAATAGCACAATGCCAAATCTAAAAGTTGCTTCTCAGTTTTCATGGTATCTGACCTTTTTGCAGGTTTCCACACTGCTAACTACTGCCTCCTGGAAACTGCTCCCTTGGTTCCATCACCCTGCATTCTCCAGCCTCTCTCCCTGTGTCTTGGGCCCTCTTCTTCAAGTCTTCTTTGCAGAATGTTCTTCCTCTCCATCCTTGGTTCTTTCTGCCTACTGTATTATACAGTCTCTGATAGTACCATATATATATACTCTTCCTCTATCACTTTTTTCAGTCAGGGATCAAGTCTGAATCTTGAACGCTGATCTCATTCAGAACCAGACATATCTTCAACCCCTTATTGTGTGGAGAATGGACAGGACATGCGAAGTGTTTAATGTCTGATGTATGGGAAATGTTCAATAAATGGTAATAAATACTATTATTATTAGCTATTATGGTAACATCCATTTCCTTCTATATGATCCCACTGATACTATCTTAATTTAGATCCTTAGTGTTGAATTTGAACTCAATGTAAGCTCCAGAAAGGCAGGGTCACACTACCTTATTTATTATTATATCCCCCAAACCCAACACAATGCTGGTCCATATTACTGTACTTTGCTACTGAATCTCACTGTGGAATGTTTTTAAAAGAAACAAATATGATTTCATTGCATCCTTGCTTAAATCTGTCACTGGTTCTTTATAGCTCTCTGGATAATGTCCAGACTCCAAGACCAAGCCCCATTGGATGTGGGCCCTACTTCCCTTCCAGCCCCAACTCCTTCCTCTCCCCACGTGAATCCATTGCTGGAGAAGTACTTTAAACACTAAAAAGTCATTTGGAGCTCTTTCGCATGCAATTTCAATTTTTTTTAAATATTCCAATTGCAATGTAGTTAACGCAGTGTTAATTAGTTTCAGGTGTACAATATAGTACAATTACAATATAATTACTCAGTGCTCATCAAGGTAGATGCACTCTTAATCCCCTTCAACACCAAAACTAAAGACAACCTAAGGTATGGAAGAAGATATTTACAAATGACATATCTGATAAAGGGTTGGTATCCAAAATATAAAAAGAAGTTAAATAACTCAACACCAAAAAACAATCTAATAAGCAAATGGGCAGAAGATATGACACATTTCTCCAAAGAAGACTTACAGATGGCCAATAGACACTGAAAAGATGCTCAACTTCACTCATCAGGGAACTGCAAATCAAAACCACACTGAGATATGACCTCACACCTGTCAGAATGGCTAAAATTAACAACATAAGAAACAAGTGTTGGCAAGAATGTGGAGAAAAAGAAACGCTCCTGTGCTGTTGGTGGGAATGCAAATTGTGCAGCTACTGTGGGAAACAGTATGGAGGTTCCTCAGAAAGTTAGAAACAGAATTGCCCTACAGTCCAGTAATTGCTTTACTCTTTACCAAAAAAAATAGAATAACACTAATTCAAAGGGATACATGCACCCCTATGTTCATTGCAGCATTATTTACAATAGCCAAATTATGGAAGCAGCACAAGTGTCCATGGATAAATGAATAGATAAAGAAGAGGTGACTATATTGGGGCGCCTGGGTGGCTCAGTCGTTCAGCGTCTGCCTTCAGCTCAGGTCATGATCCCAGGGTCCTGGGATTGAGCCCCGCATCGGGCTCCCTGCTCAGCAGGAAGCCTGCTCCCCCCTCTCCCACTCCCCCTGCTTGTGTTCCCTCTCTCGCTGTGTCTCTCTCTGTCAAATAAATAAAATCTTTTAAAAAAAAAAAGAGGTGATTATATATCATTAGGAATATTAGTCAGCCATAAAAAAAGAATGAAATCATGCCACTAGCAATGAAATGGATGGAGCTAGAGAGTATAATGCTAAGCAAAATAAGTCAGAGAAAGACAAATACCATACGATTTCACGTATATGTGGAATTTAAGAAACAAAACAAAGGGGACAAAGAGGACAAACCAAGAAACAGACTCAACTATAGAGAACAAACTGATGGTTACCAGGGGGTAGGTTGGTGGGCAGATGGGTGAAATAGATGATGGGTATTATGGAGGGCACTTGCGATGAGCACAGGGTGATGTATGGAATTGTTGAATCACTATATTGTACACCTGAAACATATAACACTGTATGTTAACTATACTGGAATTTTTTAAAAAAATCATTCAAGAAAAAAACCTGGAAGTGCTATCAGGTTTTGACCTTGGTCATTTCAGTCTCTTTGTGCCTTAAACCCAGCAGGAGAGTAGGGGGAAAAGAATTTCATTGACTGCCCACTGCTGCTGCTGCTAATCGGAGCTGTTCTGGATAAAACAATTGGGCTGAAATCAGTGAAGCCATCCTTAGACATTTTGCCTTCTGAGAGGTGCAACTTTTAGTTCTTTGAAATCATTCACGTTGCATTCATGTGTCTAATACTATTTTTAATACTTAACCCATTCTCACAGGAATTCTAACAAAATACTTTTTTAAATCTAAGGAAGTGCATTGGTTAAATAAAATCAATTATTAAAAACAGTGCAGGGGCGCCTGGGTGGCTCAGTCAGTTAAGCTTCTGCCTTCGGCTCAGGTCATGATCCCAGGGTCCTGGGATCGAGTCCTGCATTGGGCTCCCTGCTCAGTGGGGAGCCTGCTTCTCCCTCTGCATGCTCTGCCTGCCGCTCCCCCTACTTGTGCTCTCTCTCTCTCTGACATAAATAAATAAAATCTTTAAAAAATAAATAATTAATTTAAAATGGTGCAGACTACACTTCTTTCTTCAAAATATCTAGACAAAAGAAAACATCTGGCTAGGGAAGAATCATGAGTAGAGTTTTCAACTGATAATATTTCGTTTTTTTATTCTTGCTTGACAGTAACAAATAATACAAAATTATCAAAATGAT